CGCTGCAGTAAAGGCGATGCTATTTCCCGCCCGACGGCCTCGGGCGAGTAAGCATCGCGCTGCACTCGCCCTCGGACTTGAGAGGGACTCCGGAGAGAGCCTTTGAAGGAGTGGAGGTCGCCCTTGGAGGGAGGCTCGGATACGGGCGCAGTATGCACGGGGAGCCAGCAGGGCGCCCTCGCTTCCCCTCTCTCTTCTTTGTGGATATATATATATATATATATATATATATATATATATATATATATATATATATATATATATAGAGAGAGAGAGAGAGAGAGAGAGAGAGAGAGAGAGAGAGAGAGAGAGAGAGATACATGTATATATGTATATATGTTGTATAAATGCACATATATGTATTATATATGTATATATATGTTATATATATGTTATATATACGTTATATATATGTATGTGATATATATTTCTATTACATATATATATGTCTATATGTTTATATTATATATTATATATATATATATAATGTTTATAATATATAGATACATAAATATATATATATATATATATATATATATATATATATATATAATATATATATAATATATATATGGCAAGAAAAAAATATTTTCATCTATACATTTTCATATAATATAAAAGTTTTTAAAGTTGTATTGTGTTTTTTTTTTGTTTTTTTTGTTGTAAACCATAGTTATTTAAATGTAAATGTAGGACTATTTTAACTGTACTGTACCGTTAAATTTTGTGGGTAGCGTAACCTAACCGTCTTTAAGGCTCGTGGGAATGAATTCATTCCAATGTTGATTGTGCCTATTTTTATAATGATCATAAAAACATTTTAACCTTTAATATTTTATTCAATAAACAAACAATGAACAAATTGCATATCATTCTGTAAATCTTTCATCAACATGAGCAATATTCTCAAATAATTCAATTCATATCCAAGGTTAATTCTATATACTCTCCCCTATATTAATAAACAAAATAAACATATATGTGAGACAGAATCGAGACCCTCAAACCTAGTCTAACTGTGTTCATTCCATGATTTTACCTTGGCCATAAGCTGATCATTTCCCTTTTATGATTTTTGCTCTCATTCACTTCGCTCTAACAACTAATTCAATTTTCTATCTATTCATTGATACCTCCCCGCGACTACTTCCGTTACTGTATCCACGGACCACTAAAATAACTAAATAACTAACATTATTTTCCCCTGGCAACAAGGCATTATAGCTTGTTCTTTTCGATGCATGTTCCACCCTTTCTCCTCTCTGGTACATGGAGGAAGGCCAGGACTCGTCTCGATTATCATAGATCAGCACAAAGTGATTTAACTATTACGTTAATACACTTATCAAGCATTACAATCTATTATAAGAGGTTAAAACGTGATTCAAAATACCAGCTCTCAGCGTACCTGTTACATGGAGGAAGGCCAGATCTCGTCTGACGAGAAATCGTTAAAATAATAAATTCATCGCTTTCCCCCAAATGAATTGTTAACATTTAAACAAACAAATCATTTATAAATGAGTAATATAATATACTCTTTGTTATAAGCTAGATTTTGCTATATTGATATGCCTTTAGATTTATGAAAATATGTAAACAAATGTTTCAGTGACGAATATGCATCCTTGAAATCAGAAACAGTGCACCTTTTTAAATGTCGAATAAATAATGAAGTGTGTGTGTGCATAGAAAGATCTATATATATATTTTTTATCTCTTTTTTTCTTTCTGTCTATGTCTCTCTCTCTCTCTCTCTCTCTCTCTTCTCTCTCTCTCTCTCTCTCTATATATATATATATATATATATATATATATATATATATATATATATATATATATACACACACATATACACAATATATATATATATATATATATATATATATATATATATATATATATATATTATATATATATATATATATATATATATATATTATATATATATATATATATATATATATATATATATATATATATATATATATATATATATATATACACACACACATATACACATATATACATATATATACATATATATATATATATATATATATATATATATATATATATATATATATATATATATATGGGGGGGGTATGTGTGCGTGCGCACCATGCTGGTCAATTAAGGAGAGTATGAGAAACTAACTTTATTATCTAGAATTTTCTGATGAAGTGTCTGTGGTCATAACTATCATCCTCGGCATCATTATCAGTAGTATAGATATCTGTGGTTTAGTAACAGGAATTTGGTCATTATCAAGCGTGTTGTCAACATCACCACTGCATCTATCTGCATCACCACCTCATCACCATTAAAGCCAGGGCGTGAAAGTCCAGCGGCGAGAGAGACACTAAACGCGACAGCGTGAACCCGACTTTTCTCTCCCTGGAATCTTGCAGCGGAAGTTCCCTCTCGCTTCCGCCACAATGCACGCGCGCCGAGGGAGCCGACGCCGCCAATGCAAGCAGAAGGGAGAATCATTTGGTATAGACGTTTATTAATTTATTATAAATATTATAAAATTATAAAATTTATTATAAATATTATTAAAAAATAAATATTTATTATTTATTATATATATATTATTATATATAAAAAATATATATTATTATAAATTATTATTATGATTTATTATTTATTATAAAGTTCTTTAGGCATGTTTTTTTTCTCGCTTTTTTTCCTGTTTTACTTTGGATTTTTTTTTATTTTCTCCTTTTTTTATTCGTTCTTTTTTCTTCAACCTCGTTCTGAAACATTCCCCGTATTTGTTTTTCGTTCTTTTTTCTTCAACCTCGTTCTGAAACATTCCCCGTATTTGTTTTAAAAGTCGATCGCCAATCTTTAATGTTGTTTAAATAATGTAAACAGTTGTGCCGTCCAAACAGCGAGAATATCATTCATTATAAGAAGCTACGACGTTCACAAATCACTCTCCCATTCACAAACGCCACACAGAACCTTGCAAAAGTCCGGTGCAGCGAGTTCGCGCCACGGAGCCATGAAACTGCGCAGATCATCCTTCCCTGCTTGCATTAGCGCTTGCAAACGGGACAGTGCTTTGTGTATTAATGGGAAACCCGTTTGCCATAAATACAGCGCTGCGTGTGTGTAATAACAAAGAAGGACACCATTGTATGTCTCCCACTACCTGTGTGGAAGAGTTTATGGGGATGATATTCATATCATACATGTAAATCGTGCCTCTATATCATAGTGTGTAGTGGGTTTCGCGCACAAGCATAGTTGGTGCATTTGTTATGGCCAGACTTTGTGCATAAAATCTCGGTTTCGTGGAGTTTCGCGGCGTGCAACTTTGCATGCAATGGCCGTATATATCTGAGGACTTGTATACGATTATCTCAGACCACTTGAGTGTTTGAAATTGTTATGGAAATTATGAGTTATGTCGCGTCATCGTTATCGGCGTGTTTCAGCAGCCATTTGGCGGGTTCACAATCCCATTTTGGACTGGATTATCTGTTGAATAGACCCGAGTAAATTGTCCGGGATATCCCTGTCCCCTTTTGCTATGCACTCGTTTTTGATATTGCCGTTGCCAATGTTATATATGCGTATTTTTCTCTTTCTCTTCGTTCTCTCTCTCTCTCTCTCTCTCTCTCTCTCTCTCTCTCTCTCTCTCTCTCTCTCTCTCTCTCTCTCTCTCTCTCTCTCTCTCTCTCTCCCTCCCTCCCTCCCTCCCTCCCTCCCTCCCTCCTCCCTCCCTCCCCCTCTCCCTCTCCCTCCCTCTCCCTCTCCCTCTCCCTCTCCCTCTCCCTCTCCCTCTCCCTCTCCCTCTCCCTCTCCCTCTCCCCTCCGTCTCCCTCTCCGTCTCCCTCTCCTCTCCCCCTCCCCCTCCCTCTCCCTCTCGCATATTTATATACGCGAACAAAAACATATAGATCACAGACCGCATTTCCCTCACCTCCTCCTCCTTCTGCAAATTAAACCTCGTCTTCCCTCCAATCCCTCATTCCCAGTGCATTCCACAGATTTCTCCGAAGCTATCTTCTCCCTCCTCCTACCTTTCTTTCTATCTTCCCCATTTATCTTCTCGCCTCCATTCCTCCATCCCTCTCTGTCTCTGTCTCTCTGTCTCTGTCTCTGTCTCTGTCTCTCTCTCTCTCTCTCTCTCTCTCTCTCTCTCTCTCTCTCTCTCTCTCTCTCTCTCTCTCTCTCTCTCTCTCTCTCTCTCTCTCTCTCTCACTCTCTCTCTCTCTCTCTCTCTCTCTCTCTCTCTCTCTCTCTCTCTCTCTCTCTCTCTCTCATTTTTTTAGCATCTTTATTAATCTATTTACATCAATTGATTTGGGTGTTCGTTACATTGGTGAGCTAAGGATACTTTTGGCACGGTTATCCATCTTAAAGCTAAACCCAACATACACAAGGTTATAAACATTTTTTTAATTACATACAATATATCGTCAAACAAGCGAAAGATTATGGTGAAGTCTCTAATGATGGGCCACCAGTTTCGCTTGCTGAGTGTCGAGTGTTTGTACTCTTGCATCTGCGACGAAGGAATTCCAAAGTCGGGCAGTTCTGGAGAGAAAAGTCCGCTGGTGTTGGCTGGCGTTGGACCACGGAACATCCACTGCATCCTCGCTCGAGATGGCTGTTCTTGTCGGTCTGAGCGATCGGTGCCGCGGCAGACGAAGCCCCTGCAGATGAGGAACTCTGCACTTGGATCTTGTGCATCACTGTAAGTGCTGCCACGTCTCTTGAACTTTGTCCAGTAGATCCAAATGCGTCTTAGATGCCGACATCCATGACAGAGCAGCGTATTCCAGGAAGGGTCGTACTTGGGCATTGTACAGCACTTGCAAGCCCCGGGCGTCAAGGAAATGTTTGATTCTTCTTAGAAGAGTCACTCTAGTTGAAGCTTTCTTTGCAATTTCCTTCAAATGTGCGTCGAACCTGAGGCAATAATCAAAAGACACTCCTAAGATAGAGATGCTGTTGGTCATCTGCAATACACTTTTGCCAAAGATTATTTTCCCGTTGATGCAGAACGAGGCTTCGGTGGAACGTGAGATGACCATAGCTTGAGACTTTTCTGTTGCAAATGAGGATTGCCATCGTGTCCCCAGGTCTCAATCAGTTCCAATGCAGTGTTCACTTGGGCAATGGCAGCCTGACTTTCTTCCCTTTTGTAGCTCACTGACAGAGTACAGTAATCAGCATATGCTGCAGGAGATCATTTATGAACACATTCCAGAGAATGGGTCCTAGCACTGATCCTTGTGGCACTGATGCTTTTATTGGATACTGTTTTGATTGATGGCCTTTTACAACGACAGAGAGGGTTCTGCCATGGAGATCATCACGAAGTAGTGTGTGCAGGCCCCCTGAGATGCCTAAAGAGGTGAGTTTGGAGAGAAGGCCACCGTGCCAGACCCTGTCGAAAGCTCCGGCAATGTCAAGACAATGACAATGGTGTTTCTCCCAGTGTCCAGTGCGTCACTCCATGACTGAGAGAGTGACATCAACACATCAGATGTTGATTTTTTCTTTCGGAATCCATGTTGCCGATCTGAAATCAGGTGATTCTGATCGAAGAAATTTTCAATGTGGTCGGCAATAATTCTCTCAAATACTTTGCTTAATATAGAAAGCAGAGAAATTGGTCTGTAATTCCTTGGATCCGACTTGCTACACTTTTTGTGCACAGGAACTACACGTGCATGTTTCCAGATCCTGGGACACGACTTTTCTTTCAAACAACAGTTGAAAGCCATTGCAAGTTGAGTTGCAAGTTCAACTGCACATTTTTTCACAAAGAATGGGCTGATATCAGGACCAACTGCCTTGTTAGTGTCAAGATTTTTCAGGATAATCTTCACTCTGTTAGCTTGGATGTGGAGAGTATGCAAGGATGCTTTTGTAATTTGCCTTGGAAGAGGCGGTACTTTTTCAGGGCTGTCCACTTGCATTTTCGCACTGAATTGCCTAACTAAGAGATCAGCTTTCTGGGCAGATGTGACAGCATAACTACTGTCAACGTCTTGGAGAGGAGGAATGGTGTCTTGCTTTAATTGTCCCTGTTTTTCTTTAACTAAGGACCACCATTGTTTGGATCCAACGTTGGTCCTTCTCATGCGTGTTTGGATGTCCCTTTCCCAACGACTGATTGCCCATTGGGATGTTTCTCTCATGTGTCGACATGCTTCTCGGTGTAAAGTTTTGTTATGGCAGGAAGGATGTTGCTTAAGCCTTCTCCAAGCCTTGAACTTTGCATCTGAAGCAGGCTGGCATCTATAGCCAAACCATGGCTGGTCAGTGGGTCTTACAGTGTAAGAGTGGTGAGGAACATACTCTCTCTGAAGGGATAAGAAATATTGTGTCAACCACTCAATCTGGGCATTGGCATCTCCAGTAAGGCTTTCCTGCCAATCTGTGTTCCTAAGGGACTGTTGTATTGCCGCCCAGTCAGCGTGCCTCCAGTTCCAGATTTCTCGTTCATAAGATTCTTGAGTATGTGGCCTTATATTTACATGTGTCGAAACTGCAATGTGATCTGAAGATCCAATGGTTTGTAGAGGCTTACAAATGACTGCCTCGCCAAGATCACTGAGGACTGGATCAAGGGAGCCTCCAAGGATATGTGTAGGAAAGTCTACATGATTTTGAAGACCATGAACTCCTAAAAGATCATCAGATGCATGCATAACAAGATGTTGGTTGAGGTCTCCAACAATTACGTTAAGTTTGTATGTCGTCAAGATGTTCTGTCAGATACAGAAGGGGATCACCACCTTGCCACTGAGGGCGGTACATGACACAGGAGTAGAGCTGAGGAGTCTTCCATTATGATACGGAAGAACATGACCTCCATCCAGTCAGGAACGCTAATTTCCAAATGTTGAAAGTTAAAACTGCTATTGTTTTTGTTGCTGGGTTGCTCCTGGTTGGGTTTCCTTGTGGGGCCTTTTGGGGGCGTTTGTGGGACGCCCCTTGGGGTAGCTGAGGCAGGACCAATCTCCCTCCCTGCAGCAGTTGTTCCTTGCGGAGGGTTAGAGTGGGTACTTGATGATGGCTGACCCTCTCTCTCTCTCTCTCTCTCTCTCTCTCTCTCTCTCTCTCTCTCTCTCTCTCTCTCTCTCTCTCTCTCTCTCTCTCTCTCTCTCTCTCTCTCTCTCTCTCTCTCTCTCTCTCTCTCTCTCTCTCTCTCTCTCTCTCTCCTCTCTCTCTCTCTCTCTCTCTCTCTTCTCTCTCTCTCTCTCTCTCTCTCTCTCTCTCTCTCGGCGTCTCTCTCTCTATTCATTCTCTCTCTCTCTCTCTCATTCTCTCTCTCTCTCTCTCTCTCTCTCATCTCTCTCTCTCTCGTCTCTCTCTCTCTCTCATTCTCTCTCTCTCTTCTTCTCTCTCTCATTCTCTCTCTCTCTCATTCTCTCTCTCATTCTCTCATTCTCTCTCTCTCTCTCTCTCTCTCATTCTCTCTCTCTCTCTCTTCTCTCATTCTCTCTCTCTCTTCTCTTCTCTCTCTCTCTCTCTCTCTTCTCTCTCATTCGCTCTTCTCTCTCATTCTCTCTCTCTCTCTCTCTCTTCTCATCTCTCTCTCCCTCTCTCCCCCTTTTTTTGCTTTTTCTCCCCTTCAGCAATTATTTTGTCTAGATTCACTCCGCTTTGATTACTATCCAGGAATATATTTACATACACGCTACATTTTGCTTTTTCTCTCTTTCCTCTTTTAAATGTGATTATCCCTCCTCCTTTTTCACTTCGTCTTGAAGTTTTAGCTTCTATACACCCTCAAGTTGTATTTAAGATTTAGCTTCATTCACCCTGTAGGTTTACGTGTATTTTTTCTCCTGTAGTTGTATTTCATTTATTTAATTTCAGTGTAAGTAATCTCCTTTCGTTCCGCATTGTTTATAAACTTTGGATAATCTTTTTTAACACATAAAAGCGAAGCAGATAGCATGATTGAGATCAAGCTGCAGGTTTTCACAATATCTACCTGTATCTTTCACTCTATCTCTTTTTACCTGTCCATCTATCCTTCTATCTGCTTGTCTATTTATCTATCTAGTTATATATACACGATAGAGAGTTTGGAGTTTTGCAGAAATGTATTTAACTTTTTTTCTCTCTTCCTCTCACGTTCCTTTACATAAGGAAAAGCCCGATATGCGAAGCTGAGCCTCGCCCGGGCTATGAGGGGAGGCCAGTCTGTGCCGACTAATGGCGACTCTATCAACGTATCAGCTAGTGTTGGGGCGACAGAGCTTAGTCCTTACCCGCCGCGGTGCCCAGCCACAGCGGTAACCTCCGAGTGTCGATTGCAACTTCTCGCGGCCTGGGGGGGCGCGAACCCCGACCCCTGGGTGAGAGACCCGACACGGTTCACAGTACTTGCCCGGAGGCTTCTTTCACACCGCAGTTAGAATTCATTTATTTTTATTTGTATATATATTGATTAGTTGATTTACTTCCGCTTCAGTTTATCTTCATCATAATTCAGTTATATCTGTCGTTTTTGTGATTTTCATATATTTGACAAACCTTTCTTCTTGAACTTTTAGCACTGATAACCCATACTGAATGTATGCCCGTGTCTGTTTCTGTCTGTATGCAAACGTGCGTTTGTGTAGTAATATAACACTTATCTATACATCTATTTATAAATACACACATTGCGTTCATCAACGGGTGAAGCGAAATCTTCTCTCTCTCTCTCTGTGTGTTTTTCTTTGTCTGTCTTCTCTCTTTGCCGAAGCCATCGGCCTTTGCTAATTGCTTTTGTTCATACCTGTTTGTTTTACCGCTTTGTTTATTTTCTTTTATATCCCTCTGTTACGCAATAATCATTAGTTGTATTCGGTGTTAAGCTCTTACATATATATATTTAGAATCATAATTAAGGTTTGATAATAGAGAAGAAAAAACAAGGTTGCGGTTAAGAATCTTTATTCTCACCTCTAGTCAAGTATTTCACAATTCTACAAGTTACCAGAATAACCCCGCCGAGCCCTTCCCGGTCTGACTGATTGGCCAGTCAGAGGGCCTCTTGGACCTGTGAGCGTGGCCTGATTAGACTCTTTATTTTAACCCTTTAACGGAACCACAAAGAGCTAACAGCCACACACACAAGACTTCAAGAGCGGGCTAGTTGTGGGGAAGGTATTAAGATTTTTTTTTTTATAATTTTTAATTACGTTTCAACACATTTTCATAGTTTTACTTTTTATCAACTAATCTTAACAAAGCCGATTAAAAACAAAACAAAAAAACTACAGTGACAGTCGGTTATGCAACAAGTTGGTACACAGTGTGGACAGCCCGACTAAACTTCATCGTTGCCATACTAGCATCTCGTGCTTCCTTTCACACCTTAGGAACATCAGAATAACGCGATTTACCGTGATCAATCGTCAAGACTTCGAAACGGAAGCGAGGTGTTCGAAGGAGCCGCTCACCGCAGGCCCAAAACGCTCCGCCACAGAAGCCGAGAGCAGAGTGTTAACCGATGAAGCCTAGTTTTGCTGGCCATATAAAAGGGGTGTTGAAATAACATTCTAACACGAGTAATAGGCGCTATTCCTTCGACAAGTAACAAGGATTTTGCCAGGATTAAGAGAGTTTAGGCACACGATGATCCCTCTGGGCTCTTCGACATTTTCAAACATTTTATGGAGAATGCAATTATTGCGGAAACAATTGTAACCTCCATATCAAAATTACCCGGAGAATTAATTTCAACTCCAGACCATAAATAATTTGCACAGTGGTGAATATTTTAATCTGTAAAAAGTCCTGTAAATTGCAACTGGCTGCCGATTATCATCAAATATGCAAATTAAAAACCAGGAGGGTAAAATTCACAAAAAAGCCATCTCGGAATTTCGCAGTGCCTACAGAAGAGAAAATCGTCCGAATCAAAGAGGCAAAACCACTGAAAATTTTATAATAACCAATGAAAAAAGTAGGAACAAATCAGCCAGCAATTTTTTTTTCTTATTTTCGTATTTTCACCTAATTTCTAATTGATAACAGATCTCATAACATCTAAAGAGAGAGGTACAAGGCACTTGAACGATACCACACCTGTCACTCCTCGAGAATCCAGGAGGACCTCGACCCCGAAGAGGACGTGCGTGGGCTCTCTTCTGCATACGGTTGGACGGCCACGTTATACGTCGGCTCCGCGTGTTAGGAACAATGCTTGGCCAAACCTTTATAAATATAAAACTGGCACTAAGATGATTACAAAATACAATATATATATTTTTTTGCTTTCTTTCCCCATCTTTAAACATGGTGAGCATCTATGCAGAGCCTTTTGAGGCCGCCCTCAAGAACTAACAGCTGCCAAATAAAAGCACAATGAAAGGTCAATTAATTCCTTCTATCAAGCAGAGCAACTACAAGTCATACTATTATCAAGGAAGTAAAACACACAACTCTCAGTTCACATTTAACTAAACCTAAAAAAAGATAAAACTCAACAGCTGAAAAAAGACAAAGAAAGTGTCGTTTATGTGCAATGTAAAACGAGGGAGCGCCAGTATGGGCGATTTTTCCTTGCCCTCTTTCTCCTTTTCTTCTTTCATTCCAGGAGGATTTCAAGTCGACATCTAGGACTGCGACTATTTACATGGACAGATCGTAAGAGATAATGCTGAGGTGCAACAGGACTTAGGACTACTACTCCCACCACCATGAACGACCCCTAAGACGAGAGACTAGTTCTTCGCGGAGAGGAACCCAAATCGAAATCACAGCTACTGGTAGGTGAAGGAACCGACGTTGTCCTCCTTGCTGAAGACGACGATGGTCTGCCGACGAGACGCTAGACCGGACAGGCGGACGGAGGAGACCTGGCGGGAGGGCGGGGCGGGGGAGGGGCTGAAGACAGAGCGCTCCTTTCCCGCCTCTTTGCGCTTCCATGTTGGGGCCTTGCGTGACCACTGCCACGAGGAACCACTCGAGAAGTCAGCCCTCCTCCATCCCTCGGCCGCAGAGCATCTGGCAATCGGCGCGGACGCCACTTGCAGCTGCACGACGCCACATGCAGCTGCGGCTCCCCGTTCTCGAGGACGCTGCAGCAGAGAGTCGTCTGTCAGCTTCAAACGTCGGAGTGATACCAGAGGGAGCTATTCCGAATTACATATTTAATATGCGTTTAATTTGACGTTATTAAGCCTCGAGGCAACTAATTTGTGCGGCATTTAGTGATTCACATAAATTCCTAGAGTGAAATTAGGCCACAACTCCCGTTTGAGCTTCGAGACCGCCCTCGCACGACAGGGCGCCACAGCGATGGACAGCGACCTCAGAGCTCCGTGCCGAGCCAGGACACGACCTCGAGGTGGACCCTCTGGCCCGCCTGCTTGAGGAGGCTGACGGCGGCCGCGTGGCGCACCATCTCGAGCGTGTGGCCGTCCACCGACAGCAGGCGGTCGCCGCAGCGCAGCTTGCCGTCCACCGCCGCCGGCGACGACTGCACCACGAACAGCACGTGGATGGGCTCCGGCCCCCGCTGCGGGTCGGAGCCGCCCACGATGCTGAAGCCCAGCGAGGCGCCCGGCGCGCGGTGCAGCACCACGCTCTTGGAGATGTGCAGCGAGCGGGGCAGCTTCTGCCAGTACAGCCACGACGGCACGAAGTTGGCGGTGCCCGGGGACGTCTCGGGGCCCTCCAGCAGCGACAGGGTCACGCCCGCCAGCTCCGCCGTCGCCTTCAGGAGCGCCACGGCCTGCCCGTGGGTCAGCCCCAGCAGCGACTGCCCGTTCACCGACAGCAGCACGTCGCCCTTCTGGAATTGAAGAGAAAAATTAATAGACGATGAGTGAAAATTTCTGTCACAGACTCGCTCGCTCACTCACTCAACTCATTAATTCACTCACTCACGCACTCACACACACACAAGTACCTCATATAACAAAAGTGAAAGTGAGAGAAAGCAAGAGGGAACCGAGATAGAAAACGAGAGACAACCGAAAGAGAGCAAGGGAGAACCGAATGAGTAAAAGCCGAGTGCGAGCGAGAGGGAGCCGAGAGAAAGCGAGTGCGAGCGAGAGGGAGCGAGAGAAAGCGAGTGCGAGCGAGAAGGGAGCCGAGAGAAAGCGAGTGCGAGCGAGAGGGAGCCGAAGAGAAAGCGTGCGAGCGAGAGGGAGCCGAGAGAAAGCGAGTGCGAGCGAGAGGGAGCCGAGAGAAAGCGAGTTGCGAGCGAGAGGAGCCGAGAGAGCCGAGTGCGAGCGAGAGGGAGCCGAGAGAAAGAAAGCGAGTGCGAGCGAGAGGGAGCCGAGAGAAAGCGAGTGCGAGCGAGAGGGAGTGCGAGCGAGAGGGAGCCGAGAGAAGCGAGTGCGAGCGAGAGGAGCCGAGAGAGCGAGTGCGAGCGAGAGCGAAGAAAGCGAGTGCGAGCGAGAGGAGCGAGCCCGAGAGAAGCGAGTGCGAGCGAGAGGGAGCCGAGAGAGAAAGCGAGTGCGAGCGAGAGGGAGCCGAGAGAAAGCGAGTGGCGAGACGAGAGGGAGCCGAGAGAAAGCGAGTGCGAGCGAGAGGGAGCCGAGAGAAAGCGAGTGCGAGTAGCGAGCGAGAGGGAGCCGAGAGAAAGCGAGTGCAAGCGAGAGGGAGCGAGAGAATGCGAGTGCGAGCGAGAGGGAGCCGAGAGAGCGAGTGCCGAGCGAGAGGAGCCGAGAGCCGAGTGCGAGCGAGAGGAGGCCGAGAGAAAGCGAGTGCGAGCGAAGAGGGAGCCGAGAGAAAGCGAGTGCGAGCGAGAGGGAGCGAGAGAAAGCGAGTGCGAACGAGAGGGAGCCGAGAGAAAGCGAGTGCGAGCGAGAGGGAGCCGAGAGAAAGCGAGTGCGAGCGAGAGGAGCCGAGAGAAAGCCAGTGCGAGCGAGAGGGAGCCGAGAGAAAGCCAGTGCGAGCGAGAGGGAGCCGAGAGAAAGCGAGTGTAAGCGAGAGAGCCGAGAGCGAGCTCCAGCGCCTGTCTGGTCAGATCCTTACCTTCACCTGCTTGGACTTTCCCACGGGTCCCTGAGGGTTGATGTTGGCGATGTAGATGGGCGTGTCTCCCTCGTTGCTGGACACGCCCCCTCCGATGCGCATGCCCAGGCTCTCGTTCGCGCCCTGGGGGTGGACGGGAGATTATTATATGTGGATTGTAGTAAATGTGTGCGTGGGTGTATGGGTGTGCACGCGCGCGCGTACGTATTTGTGTATGTGCATGTGTGTTAGTGTAGTAGTGGGTGTGTGTTTATGTTAGTGTGTGTTTGTGTTTGTGGGGGGTGCGTGTGTATTCATGTGCGTATCGTCATTATAAGCATTACAGTTCAAAGTCGCCCTTTGCTTGACGTGGACTACAAATCCTGCAGCCCGGCCCTCCGGCCGCCCCAAACCCACCTTGGATATCGTGACCGTCTTTTGGTGCAGCTGCGCGCTCTCGATGCGCAGCGAGCGGCGGAAGCCGTGCACGAGGTCCGCCATGTCGCTGGAATCCCTGGAGCGGCGTCCCCGCATGCGGCTGCCGCAGGAGCCGTCGGGGGCGTCGCCGGCGGGTCCGCCCGACACGGCCGAGCCTCCGCTCTGCAGCGAGACGTCGAGGCTGGGCTGCTCGAGCAGCGTCTCGCGCGAGCCGTCGGTGCCGCCCTCCAGGCCGTCCAGGGGGTCGCTGGAGCGCGTGCGGGCCAGCGCGTGGCGGTGGCGCGGGGGCAGCGCGGGCGGGTCCACCATGTCGTGCCTGGCGCCGCCCGCATCCGCCCGCAGCGCCGACGACAGCGAGCCCGAGCTCTGGTTGAGCGGCGAGCCGAGCGAGTCGCCGAGCGAGCCGTTGCTGCGGTAGAGCGGCCCGACGCCGTTGAGCGAGCCCAGCGAGCCGCTGAAGGGCTCCCCCGGCGAGCTGAGCGAGCCGTTCGAGTGGCGCAGCGAGCCGTCCCTGTGCGGCGCCGACGACCCGCGCTCGTCCAGCGACTCGCACGACGCCGACAGACCCACGTCGTCCACGCTGCCGCCCACGTCCTCCAGGCTGTCCGTGACGTCGCCCAGGCTCTTGTTGATGTCCTTGTGGTGGGCGTCGAGGCGCGGCACGAGGCGGTCGGGCGCCGACTTGGTGCGCCAGTGGTGCACGGGCAGCGCCGGGTCGGGGCGCCGGAACAGGTGCTGGTACTCGGGCGGCGGCGCCGGCGAGTCCACGGCGCTGGTGGCGGCGCCGCGGCTGACCACGAGGCTCACGTGGTGCCGCGTCTGCTGGATGAGGCGCGAGGCGTGGTCGAGGCGCGCGTAGCGGACGTCGACGCCGTTGATGGCCAGGATGCGGTCGTGCGGGTGCAGGCGGCCGTCCTGCGCGGCCACGGACCCGTCCAGGACCTCCATCACGAAGATGCCCGGCTCCGTGCGGCGGCCGCCCAGCTTGAGGCCCAGCTGCCGGCTGCTCTCCTTGCGCAGCGTCACCATCGTGGCCTCACCTGCAACGCAAACTCGGTTGAGAAACGGATCGCTCGCGTCTGGCGAAAAATGAGGTTTCCTCGCTCCTCGCCTCGCCAAATGAGAGACAGGGAATGGAAATTCAATACGAGAGCCAATTACAGCTCATAGGGAGCCTATTTCCCCATTTCCCGCCCCGATGAAGCAGCCGGCGAGCGCTAACCCATCGCGTGAAGCGCTATAATCTACCACATAATTTAATTAGCCGTTCCGGCCGCCGGTCCAATCTGGGAACGCTAAAAAGCCCGCCGCTAAAACGCGGTCGCCTCATGCTAAAAAGGAACGCCATTTTTTTTTTTTTTTTTTTTTTTTTTTTTTTTTTTTTTTTTTTAATACTCGGCTCGAACGGATGTGGAAAGGAAAATACAGATTTAATAGGATTTACCTGTTCTATAGGCATAGGTGATGACAGCCGAAAACCTTGGTTTCGTAAAAGATTATTTAAGAGGAAAGGAAGAACAAACTCGGGGTCTCATAAGACCTCTTCAGAACGATAATGACTGTTTATTGTGATCTCTCAATTGCCGTCATTTCTGTGTTTTTCTTCGGGAGAGGAGGAGGGTTGGGGGAGGGAGGGGGAGTGGGTTAGGGGAGAGGGAGGGGGAAGATAGCAGGAGGGGAGAATTCATGGTTCCCGCTGCCTGATCCTTGATTAGTTCCCTCTTTTTCACTTTCTTTTCATTTCCAGCCAGCAATGGGAGATTAAACGAAATTTACACTCCACCTTTTCCTTTAATTTTTCCCACCTATTTAAAGTCGAAAGCCGTGCGTTATTGTGACGGCGAACTTTTGACCGTAAGAAAAGCACTCTTTCAAGTCTCGTCTGAAAGAAAGAACAACAAAAGCTCTTGAAAAAAACAGCTGCTGTAAGAAATGGCGCGAAATTCGACGCGAAATTCAACTACGTTTCGGCTCCCGGTTCCTCACTCCTTTTCAGGGGTAAGGAGCAAATGCCTGTCAGTATTTTCATTGATTTTCCTTTTGCTACATCATAGCATTTTCCCCGTTACTGAATTTGTACATTTCTTTATGTAAAGTGGAAGTCCTGGTCCTTCTAGACGCATTAAATATATTCTCTAAACAAAAGACGGAAGCCAAACAAAGAAAATCTTCCTCCTAATTCAAAATGCAGTTTCTCCCTCCTTGCATTTCAGATTCAGATAGAACCTTTCTCGAAAAAAGGAAGCAGAAGAAGAAAAAGAAACGAAGAAAGAGAGAGCGAGTGAGAGACAGAGAAAGAGAGAGGTACGAGGTAAGGTAAGAAACGGTAGAGGGAGGAGTAACGAAGAGGGAAGGGAAGAGAGAGAAAGAAATGGTGGAGAAGGAGGAGGAAGAAAGACAGGAGACGGGATAATGTGGAAGCAGAAAAAGCGTAGGGTGGATTGAAGGGCATAAAGGAGAGAGAGAGAAAGAGAGAAAGAGAAAGGGAAAGAGAAAGAAAGAGAGAAAGAGAAAGAAAGAGAGAGAAAAAAAAACCGGTCTCTCACTCCGAAGAACTATTGATACTCTTCCCAAAATTCCCGTCGGTGTAATGGACGCCCGGAGGCAGTCATGGCAGCTCCACAAAACGGGTCGCATTCCTTCCTTCCTGCAAAGTGGAAAAATGCAGAAGGCGGACCTATTTTTTTCCCGCTTCTTCTCGTCGTTATTTCGTTTTCCGTTTGATTTTGATGTTTGAATACAATGGACTTGCCTAAGTAAACCCTCCATTCGGTGAGGTGGTGGTTGATTTAAAAGAATATATAATAATAAAAGCTGTAGAAGTGGCCAATACCGATAACAATAACAATGACAATAACAATAATAATAACAGTAATGATGATAACAAATACATAAACAATACAATTAACTATTATAATTATAATTATCATCATCAATATTGACTGACTATTAGTATACAGACTTAAGCTCTACACGGAAAAACAAACAAACAAACAAACAGAGTACCACAGCCAACAAGGCCCATCAAATCACACACGTGCCCATATTCCCCCACCGCCCCCCCCCTCCACCCTCCGTCGTCGCACCCAAGGAAACCAAACAGCTGCTCTTTACGAGGTCATCAACCCCCCTCCCCCCTCTTGCCCTCTTCTGTTCTCTTACCTCTTCCTCCCTCCATATTCGCCTCCTTATTCACTCCTCTTCGCCCCTCCCTCTTCCCGCTCTCTCTCTTCTTCTTCCCTCCTCTTCGCCCCCCCCTCTTCCATCCCTCCTCCTCTCACTCTCATTCTCTCTCTTCGCCCCTCCCCTCTTCCATCCTCCACCCTCTCACTCTCTCTATTCGCCTCCTTATTCTCTCCTCTTCGCCCCTCCCCTTCCATCCTCCTCCTCTCACTCTCTCCTTATTCCTCCTCTTCCCCCTCTCCCGCTCTCTCTCTCCTTATTCCCTCCTCTTCGCCCTCCCCTTTTCCCTCCTCGCTTGCACACGCTCCCTCCTCGATCCCTCCTTCCCCTCTGCCACTCGCTTCCCTACTCCGTCCTTGGTCTTTCCTCCCTTCCCTTATTCTCCCTGGATCCCTCCTACTCCTTCCCTTCACCCAATATACTCCCCTCCTTCTCCCCCCCTCCGACCATCTCTTTGCTTATTCTCCTTCCTTCATTCCCTTCCCCCCTCCTCCCTCCTTCACCCTCCTTCGCGTATTCTCCTCTCCTCCCCTCCCCTTCTCCTCGTCCCATTCTCCTCCCCACCCCTCTCCCACTCCAGCCACTTCCCATTCTCCTCCCTTCTCTCATCCTCCTCCCCTCCCCCTCCTCTCCCCCTCCCCTCTCCCCCTCCCCCCTTGCAACAAGCCGTGCACAATTCGCAACCCAAAACCCACACGTTCCCGACGAGTGGTGTTATTTACCTCCTTGGGGCTATTGCACTTATTGGCTTGTTAAGGGAGTGGAAGAGAGGGGATGGAGAGGTGAGGAGGAGGGAGGGAGAGAGAGGAGAGAGAGATAGATAAAGAGAGAGAGAGAGAGATAAAGAGAGAGAGAGATAGATAAAGAGAGAGAGAGAGAGAGAGAGAGAATGAATGAATGAATGAATGAGTAAGGATTAAAAAAGTAGATCGGCTCCGAATGCTAAGACGGGGTATGGTTGGCTCTCTCTCTCTCTCTCTCTCTCTCTCTCTCTCTCTCTCTCTCTCTCTCTCTCTCTCTCTCACTCACTCACTCACCTCACTCACTCACTCACTCACTTCACTCACTCACACACACACACACACACACTCACACACACACCACACACACACACACACACACACCACACACACACACACACACACACACACACACACACTCCACTCACTCACTCACTCATCACACAACACACACACACACACACACACACACACACACACACACACACACTCAACTCTCTTTCTCTCTCATCTTTCAGTCTCTTTTCTCTCTCACACTCTTCCAGTCTCTTTCTCTCTCACACTCTTCCAGTCTCTTTCTCTCTCACACTCTTCCAGTCTCTTTCTCTCTCACACATTTCCAGTCTCTTTCTCTCTCACACTCTTCCAGTCTCTTTCTCTCTCACACTCTTCCAGTCTCTTTCTCACACTCTTCAGTCTCTTTCTCTCTCACACATCCAGTCTCTTCTCTCTCACACTCTTCAGTTTTCTCTTCAGTCTCTTTCTCTCTCCACACTCTTTCCAGTCTCTTTCTCTCTCTCTCACACTCTTCCAGTCTCTTTCTCTCTAACACTCTTCCAGTCTCTTTCTCTCTCACACTCTTCCAGTCTCTTTCTCTCTCACACTCTTCCAGTCTCTTTCTCTCTCACACTCTTCCAGTCTCTTTCTCTCTCACACTCTTCCAGTCTCTTTCTCTCTCTCACACTCTTCCAGTCTCTTTCTCTCTCACACTCTTCCAGTCTCTCTCTCTCTCACAACTCTTTCCAGTCTCTTTCTCTCTCACACTCTTCTCTTCTCTCACACTCTTCCAGTTCTCTCTCTCACGACTCTTTCTCACACTCTTCCAGTCTCTTTCTCTCTCACACTCTTCCAGTCTCTTTCTCTCTCACACTCTTTCCAGTCCTCTTTCTCTCTCCTCTCTTCCAGTCTCTTTCTCTTCTCTCTCACTCTTTCAGTCTCTTTCTCTCTCTCACTTTCAGTTTCTTTCTCTCTCTCACTCTCAGTTTCTTTCTCTCTCTCACTCTTTCAGTCTCTTTCTCTCTCACTCTTTCAGTCCTCTTTCTCTCTCTCACTCTTTCAGTCTCTTTCCTCTCTTCTCACTCTTTCAGTCTTTTTCTCTCTCTCTCACTCTTTCAGTCTCTTTCTCTCTCACACTCTTCCAGTCTCTTTCTCTCTCACACTCTTCCAGTCTCTTTTCTCTCTCACACTCTTCCAGTCTCTTTCTCTTCTCTCACTCTTTCAGTCTCTTTCTCTCTCATTCACTCTTTCAGTCTCTTTCTCTCTCTCACTCTTTCAGTCTCTTTTCTGCTCTTCACTCTTTTCAGTCTCTCTTCCTCTCTCACTCTTTTCAGTCTCTTTCTCTCTCTCACTCTTTCAGTCTCTCTCTCTCACTCTTTTAGAACTGAAAGAGTGAGAGAGGAGAAAAAAAGACTGAAAGAGTGGAGGAGAGAAAGAGACTAAGAGTGAGAAGAGAAGAAAGAGACTGAAAGAGTGAGAGAGAGAAAGAGACTGAAAGAGTGAGAGAGAGAAAGAAACTGAAAGTGACGAGAAGAAAGAAGATTCTTCTCTCACTTTGTTTCTTTCTCTTCTCTCACTTTTCAGTCCTCTTTCTCTCTCTCACTCTTTCAGTCCTCTTTCTCTCTCTCACTTTTCATCTCTTTCTTCCTCTCACTCTTTCAGTCTTTTTCTCTCTCTACTCTTTTCAGTCTCTTTCTCTCTCACTCTTTCAGTTCTCTTTCTCTCTCTCACTCTTTTCAGTCTCTCTTCTCTCTCCTCTTTCTCTCTCAGTTTCTTTCTCTCTCACTCTTTCAGTCTCTTTCTCTCTCTCACTCTTTCAGTCTCTCTTTCTCTCTCTCACTCTTCAGTCTCTTTCTCTCTCT